TCGAAATTGTAATGGATGGTGAGAACCACAGGGGTACTGAGTTCGATCATAAATTTCAATTGCTCCGATTTCTAGTAAATGACAGGTACTGAGTTGGATCATTAAAAGGCTCGAAATCATCAGTGTGCAAATGACTGAGCAACCAGCGCACATTTTTCGGAGAAAAGTGTGGATCTATTCGGTTCACACAAGCGTAATCAGTAACGCTTCATGCGACTAAATGGGTTCCAGATGGGAATACAGAAAACAGTCTGAAAATGCATATAGCTAAAACTCAGCTATCCACAGAGGCCAGTAAGGTTCATTCGTATTCGTTTATAACGAGAAGAAACTTGCATGCTACTCGTTTTGTCAGAAATCTCTCGGCAAGATACATTGATTGGGCTCTCGAGCTCTCAACTAACCAAGCGATTCTGAAAAAAGCTGAATATATTCGCTCGATCGACAACTGGATTATCTTGAGTGAAGTTGAGACCTGGAGGCTTTCGGAGCTTTCATTTGATATACATACAATATGCAATTGGTACTAAAAGAGTATAATTCCTTTACACTAGCCGCAAACAACTCTTGGGGAGATGCGCACAGGAGGTGTTCACAGGCACGCGGCCGCGCTCTAATTCCCATGGAACAACGATGTGTGCAACTTTCACACAGAAACAAACATCTTCATAGACAATTACTAGCCCTGATCAAACGGATCCTTACTGCAGTGCCACATATCCTTAAACGGAACGAATAGGCCCCCATGAAACAGAAATCGGAGAAAACTATGCTCGAATCGTGCTTCTGATCACGCTGTATGGACAGTAGTGAATTGGGATATTCTTGGAGACGACTCACCCTTCACTAATTGTGATTTGTGAGTCCTTCTGATAGTAGCTACACCTATCTAAACCACCTACATTATTCTCGTCTAGTATGGAAAGATCGGCTTACAGTACTATCTTGCGCAGTAAATTAGAGCATTGAACATTTTTCGGGACATCGCAATATTCGCGCAAACTTTGGTAAAGCGCCTTGTAATCTTGTGGACATCAAATTCTGCTGGATACTTCATAAGGAGCTTTTTCTCACGCGACGCAAAATTAAGTTCCCCGATTGTAGAATGTAACTTTCTATCATTCTAGCTCATATATAGTGAAAAAGCAGCTTCCCAGCACGTCCCCCTAGAAAAGAAGTTTTTCTTAAGAACCAAAAAAACCGCGAGTTGCGTTTCCATCAGCATCCGATATGGAAGAAAATTGATGGGTGGTCACCGAATTGCGGGGGGTGTGGAACTTTCAGGTAGACTAAAATTCTAAGGAAGACAGAGAACTGAACGCGTGTATAAATGGGAATATTTACGGAAACTCAAATGGGCCTACGACTTCCAAGTGCTGGTTTCCTTCCAACAAACCCTCCTTTTCTTATGCATTGCTCCCCTAGGATCTTCCACGAAAGCTAAACTGTAGCCAAAACATGCCCGACGACCTGCGCTCCTCGACTCACCAAGTAGGGGCGCCTATTGGTGAACGACGTTAAACTGGCATTAGGTTATGTCGCATGCCTGCGACGCACGCCACCAAAGGCCGGTGGTCATGGGATGGCATAACCTGCTGCTAGGTCACCGGCAAACTTGGCACCTGCAGTCTTGGACTCATGCCTCAACTGTTCCGCCACCTCTGTAAGCCTCTGTTTTAAGATATTCCGCCGAGTTTTCAATTGATAGACAAGAATCTCAGTCATAAACCATAAATTAGTCCAAGTGAAACTAAGATGCTCTGAGAGACTTGCAGTGTTTTGGAATTCATGGACCTTGGGATACCTTTTGGGGCTCATTTCGTCATCCTTAGATTTCCGTCAATGGGTGCAAAGATCCCAGTCTTGCTATCGTAAAACTTTCGATGGGGAATATTTTTTATTTAAGATACTGAGGCACCTCATTTGAACATATGGAGTCTACTATTTTTTAATAATGCGGCTGACTAAATACATCTTTCGGTGATGGGTGAATGGGACCATTTTTGTCGCGTGGCCTCGAGTAGTCCAGTCTCCGATCTCCACGATGTTTGAAACATGAATTCGTCCACAGTGAACATAGATGAAAATCAACAGCGTAGAAGTCGTTAAACATCAACCACTAACCAACCACTAACCCACCGCTGCGCACAACTACGCACTGATGATGTTACCTCGATTGGTGATGAAACGTTTGCAACCAAATTGCCGAGCTCAGCGAACAAGCCAACAACCATCTACGCTACCCGAGCTCCTCTATAGAAAATCAACCATATCTTCACGATTGACATCCGATTAAGTAAGATGGAAGACTTTCGACTGGCCTCTGTGATCAAAGAAGACGTGTATGAATAAACAAAGAGGTGACGAACGGAAGGCTGTGTGATTGACATCCGATTAAGTAAGATGGAAAACTTTCGACTGGCCTCTGTGACCAAAGAAGACGTGTATGAACAAACAAAGAGGTGACGAACGGAAGGCTGTGTCGACCGGATACCGGGTGGTCTGAAAGACCGATGAGTGAACGCGACAAGTAAACTATCGACAGGTGCACTGAGTGTTCGACATTTGGTTGGGAAGAAAACCAAGTTGCTCGAATTTTATCGAGCTATTAGTTGTGCGGTTAATGTTACTCGGGCTCTGTGTTGCATAAGGACCGAATATTTCGAAAAGTGGTTTTTATGCACATTTGGAGATGGCCTGGCTTTTGCAGTTGGTTGCGTGGTCGTCCGACAAGATGATGGTTCTCAAGTTTACCATATATGCCACAATCCGCGAGAGAAAACTTAGATAAAGCGGTTGAAAAAAACCAACATCATCATTACTGGACTCGACCGCGCCCTGTCTTCAGTGTTCCGTTTCAGAATCAGCGTTTTTCGGAACCATTATTCCCTATTTATCAATCCTTCTCACACAGGACGGATTGCAGTGCTAAGTCTATGATTTCTGTACACATTCCCCACAGTGAAGAGAGTGTAGGTTGTTTCATGTGGTGTACAGGACAGCCTGGCTTCACGCCCTGAACCAGTCTTGAGATACAGCAACGACCAAAGACTTTCTGCACTTGTCTCGATGACCAACAGCGCACACGCTTGCGGTCAGGGCACCTGCGTCACGTCTGTTAATAGAACCCAGCAGAATTTGAACCGCTGGATGGACCTGGAATATTTGCAATCGAGACTTGGTCCTGCAAACGGAACCAAACTAGGCTGAAAAGCCGAGAAACACTGTGCAGCTGTTTCATCCTTGTTAGGAATTCGAAACTAAGAGAGTTTCGAATCCTCTATTTTCTGGTCAGTGGTTGAACACTCAACCATTCGGACGGAACCAAACTAGGCTGAAAAGCCGAGAGAGAAACACTAGCTGTTTCATCCTTGTTAGGAATTCGAAACTAAAAGAGTTTCGAATCCTCTATTTTCTGGTCATTGGTTGAATACTCAACCATTCCGCCACGAGCAGCGGAACAGCGGCGTGATTAGCTCTCATCTAACTGACCAGCGGGCGGCAATGTTTACACCAGACCAACCAACATCAGCGAGACTAGTCCTGCTGAGTTTCTCACGTCTGACTGGATTTGATTGTATCCATTCTTTCCAAAGTGATTTATTGTTATGGCCTCGGCCGAGAGACCTGGAATAAATTGGTCTCTGTAGGTCAGTCACATCACTCTTGTGCGCTTCCCGGGAAAGAATATTGTGGGGTGTGTGTTGAAATGATCTAGTAATTGACGGATTTTCGGCATTAAGCCTGAAGAAATATGGACAATAGCCAAGGTTGTTCTTAAAGAGAGGCGCCAACCTACCATTGTGGGTGATGGGAAGGCTCTTAACTTGAAGGTAAAGTGATTCAAAAGGACAGTGCTCGGCAAACCAAGTAAATATGAATTCAGGTTAGAGGTAGTCGATCCTGCCAAAAATTGTCATACTGCCAACGACTCGGTTACCGAAAAAAATTGAAAACATATGTTTGGTTGAAAATGTTACAGGCGAAATACCAAGAATCGTAAAGTTCCGTTCACGACCCATTCTAAAGATATGTGTTAGGACTATGAGAACGCAATTTGTTATATTAGGGTTTTATTGCTGAGCTCGAATAGCAAACTCGTTCAACTTCCTGGTTGATGCAGTTTACTTGACAAAAACACGAAATCGGCAGTAACTTAAGCTTCAAGACAGCATCCGGAAAATGAGCCCAAAAGCTCCGGTTCTAAACTAAGGGGAAAATATTGGCCCACCATTGACCATGTTTAATCCACCGTCATGAGCGCTGAAATTGGTTGCCAGTTCCCAATCGTCAGATAAGGATTTAACAGATGTGCAATGTTCCTCATCTTCTCGACACAGCGGACTATACTTTTCGACACAGCGACTATACTTTGCAGGATTAAAAATTTAATCGTTCGGAAGTGAATTCAATTTTATAACGCTGCCTAAAGCAGGCTAAGTTGGGCGCACTGTTTAAGACAAGAACATGCAATCCATCGTCTGTAAGTTAGTTCTTTTCCACTGACGCTTGCTATCCTCGTTCTGAGTTATTTATGTCATCTTGAATGGGTAGCTCAGTCAGAGAAGAACATGGCACGATTTCACAACTCCCACAGATACCGCATTCTATTCCTTAAGAGGCAAAAACAAAACTTCAACTGCAGCGATCAGCCCCCCCTCCGCAAAAAAGTAGCGACTTTTTGGTGGGTTGGTCCTACTTGGGTGACGCTACACACCTTAATTTCAGATAAAAAGCAGCAAAACACTGAAACTAGTAATGGAATGTCACGTCACAATTTAAAAAATCGTCCCCTATAAACGGGAATATGATAGATGAAGATTGCCACTATCGAGAAATACGAAACTTCTCTTTGGAAACACTACCCCCAACAAGCAACACCTCCCTCCTTAGTTCCAGTTTATCTAATCATCAAATGGTTGTCTGCTTGTTTCAACTAGAGAGCGTGTGCACCATGCTGCATTAGTACTGCTACAGCGTTGATTTTCGCTCCCTTACAGCAGTTGATACCAGATACACCCATGGGCAAACCACATTGGGAGTTATGGCCCGTTCAGATGCATGAAGGCTTGCTTGCAGCTCTTCAAACTGGATCACATTAGTCCAGGCATAAGGCACATGCTCGGCAAGGTTCGCGCCACTTGCCCGGTTATTCTGACCTATTGAAGTTGGGCGGATCTCGATCCACTCACTTTGCATTTTGTCACTTCATCAAATTCGTATTACAGTGTCATTGTATACAATATCCTTCTTGAAGGTTAACAGTAAATATAGTGCAAAATTTCAGGGTGTTGGTTCTTTCCGAGGAGGAAGGCGTGTTCGTTTGCACCTTACATGGGAAGCACAACTTTGTGGCAAAAAGTTGAATATAACCTCCACATAGTAAATCTAACATACAAGTGGGAAACTTGTTTTTAGTTCCTCGAGGAAAAATCTTTCTGCAGCAAGAAGAATCAGGTAACTAACTCATAAACGAGTACCAAGTAGGTAAGCTGTATCTTGTTCCTTGTAGGGGGGATTTGTGCTCCAAAGCAACCTATGGTGGTCTTTACTGTGGGTCCGAAGGTCACCAACACCTCGACAGATTTCATGGGTGTGTGGTGAAGTTGTTTTGGCTAGACAGTGAGGTTTGTGATGGAGTGGAGCTTTTGGAGTAGGCGTGGCTAGAACATTTTCCTGACGTCTTCGGCAATGGGACTGTACCGACGCTGGGTTGAATGCTTGCTCTCTCCTATGAACCAGGGAAGTTTCTTCGTCTCTTTGGAAAGACGCATATAGAGATTTCGACACAAGAAACCCTTGACTTGATGGTAACCTGACTTTAGTTTGAGCTCAAAAGCGCATCAAACACCTACCGACTGTTGAAGAAAGCCGAACAGAAGACCAGAGAACCATCCACTACACTGGTTGTTCATTCGGGACACACAATATATCGATACAGTCTATCTGCTGAATGCCGTCATCACCATCCATCCAATCTGTGTAGTGCTAACCAACAGTAAAGGATGAAAAACCCATACTCCTTTGGTCAACCTTAATTAGCCAACAGTTCCAAACTTACCACACAACGGAACAACCATGATGCTAAAGTTTGCTTTTGTATTCATATAATACAATATCTCTCCTGTCGGAGTAAAAACGATTGTACATATTTTTCGGTATCAAAAAGTGCAAAATTGATCTTCTTTAAAAATGCGAGTCATTATTCTTTCGACTGAGATAGAGGCGAACGAGTGAATACGGAGTGCGTTGAGCCAATTCTTATCGTATGCACAGGAAAACAAAAAAAGATAGAGGACAAAGGAAGCATGAGTGTTCTTCTGACAAATCACAGAGCAATAGAAAACAGCCGTTTGTTCAGGGATATGTAAAACAGTGCAATGTAAAACGCACCTAGCAGGCTAATCCATCGATCGTTGGTTGCCTAGCCGATCAGTTTCCGAGCCAAAAATCTAGGCAACACAACGAATACCTTGGGAAGATCTGCATTGGTCACGATTAAAAAAAGTTGACCAGTGGGTTATTACGGTGGATGTTTATGTTCCGTCTGCCGCCGTAGTTGTCGATATCGTTGAATAGCGATTTCAGCGGGAGTTGGATGACGAGTATCGAGTGAACGCCTGGTGCTTTCTGTAGCATACGTTAACGAGCTAGGTAAAGTGGGCTGGACTTCTGAATGTCGGGAGGTTCTTGAGGTTGGAATAATCTCGAACATTTGTCTTCCGATTTGAGAATTAGGAGACTGCATAGGCAAAGTGACCGCAGAGTCAGATATCGAAGCACCCATCGGTGGCGGGCGTCCGGAACGTAAGAGATTATCGAGGTCCGAAGCAATATGGGATGCACTCAGGTCATCCGTACGTGGTTGCTGAAAAGGGAGTTCGCGGTGAAGTTCGCTGGGTAATCGAGCGCGGCCTACAGATGCCTCCAAACCACCAGCGTTCGGAGTAAGCACGGACAACACTGGCCGAGTAGGAATAGAGGAAGTCGGGCGTGAAATCCTCGGGACCAGATTAGTAAACTCTGTTGACATTGAAGGTGATGTTTGGTGAAGGCGGTGTCTATCCTCAGCGGACCAAAGGTCGCCCGCACGAGAACTGGGTCTGCGAGTCCTTGTTGGTACTGGCGAAATGCTTCTCCTTAAAAGCATAGGAACATCTTGACCAAAGAATGGTACCTCGGAAACGGAGCAAGAAACTGGAGTGTGACTTGTAACTTGCTGAAATATGGAACCTTCTGATCGGCGTGTAAATTCCGCGGAAGAAACTGGTACTTCAAAGTGTGGTAGTTCGAAGGAAACATGCATAGATTCAGTCAAACGTTGTACAGTAGCATCAGATGTTGTTGGTTCACTTGTCCCACACAACTGTGCCACTGGTGGACCATCTGAACTTGTGATATGGGCGCGCCAATCAGGCCACGGTTTCTTCGAAGAACATTCCAAGTTGCGGTAACTGGTCCACGGGCGGGAGAATAGTAAAGAAGTTTTAGAAGACGAACCCGAAAGAGACAGGCCAGGATGTTCATGTTCCATCTCATCTTCACGTGAACCTCTCCATCTCGGATCAATTCTAGGCGTCTGTGACTCATCAGGAGTCAGTCGGACTGAAGATTCACCCAGTACTGTTGACGGGGAATACCAGAGCCAGTCCAACATGTTTGGAACCAAGTTGTCAGAAGATCTTGACAGCCCTTGGTCTAGCTTGTGTGTCGATTTGGTTGGAACCGTGCTTACAGGACTTTGGAACCCTGAACGACGGCTTGTCGAAGCAACGTCGCGATTTTCAGTCAAGTTAGTGCTACTTGCCCAAAAGATGGGCCGTTTTGAGCTGGCTGACCTCCCACTCGTGGAGGAAGTGACAATACTACGACGAGGTGTCTGACCCACACAGACAAGCGTATTCATTATTCAGTGGTTGGACAGAGGGAGGAAGAGAAAAAACAGACAAATTCGGTACAATTTCCCGGGGAAAAAATGGAGGGGTTCACAAGAAACAATTAAAAGTACAACACTTTTGACACAAGGGGAGGGTTGAAGGTACTAGTATAGGTTAACAGGTACGACGCCTCTTCTCTGCGAGTAACACGATGTGTGACCACAGTGGACTTGGTTTTACGACGACGAATTCAACAAAAACGACAGCAAAAACGAGAACAACGAGTGCACAAGCAAGCAAACTAAACTCGGGACTCACTCTGATTTGGTGTAGATCCGAGTGGGAGAAACACCCTGTATCAAGACCGGCACTCTGACGAACCAACTGATGCAATTCTCCGTGCAGATTATCGGTCAGTCGCGTAGCTTCCATCGCCTGGTCAATAAGTTCGCGGCGGGCTGACACGGTTTCAACCAGACGCGTCCGAAGGGCATGTAATCGCTTGGAAAAACCATCCAACTCTAGCAAGTTCTCCGAACCTCCAAGCGCGATGTGATCCGCGCGAAGCTGCTTCAAGACCGGTTCCTTTGCCTTCACTTCATGGAGCAATGCTTCCAAAGGACCAGTATCCATTGCGTTAGCCAGTTGGCTGTACGTCCGTCTTAACGGTCCACTTAAAACCTGTTCACCGGAGGCAGAATGGCGCCTACGGCGTCCAGGTCGATTCACAGCCTCGTCCAGTTCTCGTTCCTTACGTCTGAGCCATGAATCAAATTCTGCTTCACACAGTTGTTGTTGATCCCAAGCCGTTCGAAGGTCATGAAGTTTCGCAATGTAGTCATTTAGCTGAAATCAGTCAATTAGCAAATCATCGAACTTTGGCTCGCAAGGAAAGAGAGGGGAACTAAATGAGTAGATTGGAAATTGTGTCTTTGATCAGCTTCTGGGACCCACCAGATCCGTTCTATCTTCATCAACTGCTATGACGCCTTCCGGTCGTAAGTTGTGATTGGATCTAGAAGTTTTAATATCACTTTCCTTTAAAGGTGTTTAGTAAACTTAGTGAACCGGGGAAAATCGCTCTACAGCTGTGTTATGCTTGCCAAAAATTCCAACCAATGTGCATCTCATGGATCAAGTCTGAGCGTCGATCATTGAAGCTTTGTAGACTGCATCGTTAATAAATTGAATTTCAGGCTACTTCAACTAATCAGGGATCGCGAAACAACGTAATTACTGTACAATGTGACGTGACCAAGAATCAAAGAACACAATGAAAACCGGGGCTGTTTGTGCTCATCCAGTCGGAATTATCGCTTTCCTGGAAGTCAGTTACCGAAACCTAAAACATGATTTCGAACAAACAGTTGCCATATCAACTGGCGCAGCACACACAGACCTTATGCCACTGTCCACGAACAAGCAGTGAATAAGACATTCTATCAAATGCTACACCGAAGGGTTGATGCTTCATGTTCGGACAGCGGCAGCACCCCCGGCAAAGGTACTTACAAACAAGCAGTAGTCAGCTTACACACAGCTTCAAAGTGAGTCAGCAGTAGCGGTGATAATAACAAACAAAAAACAAAACATAAACGGATTTATCAAGGACTCAGCAATCAGTGAATTCTTTCACCACAATCTATTATTTGTAAGCAAGGATCGGTGAATTCCGACGAAGTACGCTCATTTGCGAATTAATTTGCTCTTAATGACAGATTCAGTTTGTTTCCCCCCTCTCCCGTTTTACGGTATGACCATATAGGTTGAAGAAATCTCGAAGACTACGTCTACTGACCAGTCTCACGAAGAGTGAAACCGAAATTGGGCTGCGAAGAGTCTTCAGCAACCGTATAATCATTGAGTAACGTCAATTCTGGGTGAAAAATGAATCCCATGAGCTTTAGTCTGTGCAACCAAATGTAATCAGAAAAAAAAAACAAAAGAGTATGCATACTCTGTCAACAGCCCGTTTGAGTGCCTCACTGATTCTCGCAGCTCGCTGGCTCAGTTCGGTGCCTGTCAATGTCATGTCACTTCTCTCCCGGTCTCCACTAGGTTGTTTGTAGGCATCACCGAGTATTTCTGCCATTAAAGTTGCTGGGTCGGCCCTCTGTTGCACCACGGACACCAAAGATGTTGGAATCATAAGTCGTTTTGGTGGACTGGTGTGACACCGGGCTCTTTCCGAAGAAAGTTCTTGAGTAAACAGCTGAACAGAAAGTGACAAAGGCGATCAATTGCATGAACGAAGTAAAGCACAGTGGCCGAAGGATGCAACCTTCGTTTCCAAAGTGGAGGACGTGAAGTTGCATGTCAAAGTTAGACAATGAATTCAAGATGAGAATACTGGGTATGCATAAGAAAACGATCTCCAGTGGAACTTGAAAATCTAAGTTCACTTCTCGCGAAGTCACTGACCTACATCACCATCGTGTGGGACACAGATACATATCTGGCAGAGCTTACCTGGCTTGTATAAGGTATTCTGACCACAAACCTAGAATGGATTCAAATTAAAGCGCTAACCTTGAGATTTTGATCTAAAAAAAACTTGGGATCTCAAAAATTTGAGTGCAAAACGTTCCATTCATTTAGGAATGCGCGATCGCAGTTGAATTTAACTAAGAGTAAAGGGAGGTTTGTCGATCTTTCGGTGTCCAAAAACTGAGAAAACATACTAATGGTATGCCAAAACAGGGATGAAACTCTTCTGTAATCAGATCGCATCCACAAATGAGGATATGATCAACAGAGATAACCACAGGAGGCCAAATGTTCGCATGTGTTGGTGAAGCGCTAGTGACACGTTTGCCTCACACGCCAGATATGTAAAATTTATCTCCCTGCTTATGAGCCAGACTCGAACCTTATCGGGAGAGAAGGGAAGATACTCAAACAAGAGTGGGTGAATACCAGTTGTGTCCGTTAACTAGAAATTGCCTGCAAAACCGAATCAAAACTACACTGCTCACAAGCTGCAGAGCAAGACGCTGCTGAAAGAAGCGCGCAACTCCAGGTGGTTGGGGTTCCACGCTTTCCTTCAGTATCGTCAACATTCCAATCTGATGAAATAGCGAACAAAAAAGCTCACCATCAGTCTAGCCACAGTGGCCTCTGTATCGACCAGCTGAGACTCAATATCCTGTGAAGTGAGCGTAGCAATCATTGGACGTTCCACGGCCGTCTTCGAGGTGTCTTCATCCGATTCGTCTGAGCTTGACAGTACAGTGCGCCAATCCACCTTTATGCCTTCGTCCCCCACGGTATTTTGTCCTCGATGACTGGGTAGGTTAGGGCGTTTGTTCCACCATTCAGGCAATTCCAGTTTCAAATAGTCCGCAACTCGTGCCAAGACCGAAACGAACCGAGCCCAACGATTCTGCTGTTCCAATAGCCGTTCCTAAGGGGACCGAAGAATGGTTTACCATGGTGTTACAAGTTCGAATCGGTTTGTGTAACTGTCGAAGAGTTTGGCTCCTTATAAAGCAGAATACGATAGATTATCGAGTCGCTGTGAGTACCGTTCAAAATATACACGCCGAAAATTCCCGTTACTCTTTTAGAAAAAACTCAATGGAAAATGAACGAACGCGACTCGAGTCCATCTAATTCGTGAACTATTGTGACAAACGTGTCAGCCGTGGAAACACATAATTCCTCACCCGGCCAAAGAGTAACGTGGTGGTGTACATTATCTCTGAAGGTAGAGGATATGAGGTTTATAGAACCCCCAAACTCAACCACCGGAATTCGACCCTGAAACGATTACGTCCATAGATGGTAAGGACGACAGCTTGCATTATGGTGTAAAGGATGTCTGGTAGAACGAAACCTGGAAAAATGTTTTGACAGTTGAGCGGAGATCATCCAAAGGCCTACCAAGTAAAGATTTCTTGTGCAAAACGTTTTGTGTGGCTGTGGACAGTGTTAAGTCATACAAGTCTCCGCAAACCAAACAACTCTCTTGACTTTTTCGAAATTATAATAAAGAGGTATGTGTTACTTCAACGGCTGTTTTCACGTATCGGGCCTTGCTATTTCAGATGGCAAAACGTGTCAAAGAAGTCTTGATGGTTGCTGAGAAATTGACAGACGCGTAGAGCGTATGAATCGATCGGAGCGTGCAACAACTGTTTGATAAGCTTCGTAGAAAGACAATAGAAGTGAATCCTACTTAAAAGAACATGGGCGGTCTGCAGCGAGGACAGAGGCTCATTTTTCCTTGGATAAACAAATCGTGTAAAAACCGGATAGCACTGGAGATTTGGAGTCTAATCAGGTAAAATAGATTGAGCACAAGTGACAGACACTCATGCTTTTGGCACATAACAATGTGCAAACATAAATTGAAAAGCAAAAAAAATGGACGTTCGGCTGCAACACCCTTTTGGTGCCTAGCTGGCGTGCCACTCGAGGAAGCTAGAGAACTAAGATTCCACCAAACTGCCTAAGCCCAGAAAGGGACAATCCGGATTCAGAAGTTGAGTTCGAACCACGGACATCCTCTCAGTAAGTTCGCGTCTTAACTACTGAACTATATTGAGCTCAGGTATGTTCGTCAACATTCATTCTTAGGCGGTTGAGGCCCTCTCAGTATGATCCCACAATCAGCGACTGACGCCTCAAAATATCCTGTAAACACAGAGGTATACATAAACAACAACAGTGCTTCAGGCTTGTCCCCGCTGAAACGAAATTCCTGCCACAGAAATTTTCCACGTTCAAATGAGTTCGATGGGACAGAGGTCCCGTTGCCAAATAGTACCCAATAACTGCCAAATACATGAAGTCTACCGGAAAACGGGTGATATAAACCAGGAATGGTTCCAAAAAATTCTATACCAAACGTGTGGTAGAATTTCGAAGTCTTCCTTTCTTATGGATACTCGTCCGGTGGATCTGGAAGTAAATGCATGTGACATTCTCATTGGCAGTTTCAGGAGACTTTCCTGAGTACGGCGCGCCTGTCCATCAGGCTTATCTCTCGGAGACCTAGACTAATCATCTAGAATGACTCCAAATTCAACCTCGAAAATGTGTTCTATGGAGTGGTGAGTTAACTTACCAACAGTACAACCAGGTGTCCGAGTAAGTCAGGGATAAATGTGCCATTGGTATCATTTCGTGAACTCTCTCTTGAAAGATTCGATCCCCGGTTTTTTCTTGAAGTTGGGAGTACTTGTCGATGAATCTTTGAGTAGCTGCATCTCCTGCCCCCATTTATGGGAATGTGACATAATTTACTAAAGACAATCCCAACTAGAACACATTTTAGTCAAACTGTTGCGAAAATTTTAGAGTTTCTGTACTTTCTTGTTCACGTAGACCTCCTGGAGATTCCCATGGTGACCCAACGCTTTGTCTGCTAAACATCCCATTTAGGGACACAATTCAACCATTGAATATTTGGTGGAAGTCGCGCACCTGATCATAATTTGCACACCGTTCTGAAATGTGGTCAAGAAAAGATCCAGAGATTTCGGCCTGTAAGCAAAGCGAATGCATTCTGAAAATCCGAGAAGCACTGTTACAGCTGTTTCATCCTTATTGATGAGCAGCCTTTCGTGACCGGACGGTTAAATGTCCAAACTACAATGCGGGAGGTCGCGTGTCCGAGACTCCCCTCTGGAGTTTCGTGAGGTGCGCACTGCTATGGGAGGTCACGTGTCCGAGACTCCCTTCTGGAGCTTCATGAGGTGCGCACTGCTAATGATTGCCAATACGGATGAAACAGCCGTACACTGCTTCTCGGCATTTCCGCAGAGATTGGCTCCACTCACAGGACCAAATCTTCATTAAAATTCCTAAATCTCCTCATACTACCAACAAGAATCATGAGCTTCACTCTAATTTGCACACAGACGGACGTGTGGTTCATTGTAACTCCAAATCACATTGAACAGCTTGCTCGATAAAAAGGTAAGTCGCCCAACATAGGCATGATTTTTGAGCAGCTAGAATGATGTTAATAACTTCAGCTGCCGAAACAATAACAAATACCGTTAAAAGTTCCACAAGTTGAGATGTATTCCCAGGAATAAGAACGAGCTATTCGATAGTTCATAGGTCAACAGCTGATTCGATCATGATCCACGTCTTATTCGAATTCGGTAGGCACGTGGTCCCGAGGAAAATAGCCTGAAACCGCCGAACAGGGTCACATGTGTTAACTGTCTACACACCACTGCGACCGAAAGATCTCGTGCGGGTATTTTTCGGGATACAGCCACACGGTGACATAAGAATCTGACCAAATCCAAAGCCAGTGGCTTGATATTTATCAAGTTCCCCAGGACGATCGATAACTAACCCGAGAGGTCGTATAAGAAGTTCACAAGGTGGATGTAGGGACTAGCATGACTAGGTCAAAGACGTGAGCTGAAAGGATCGCGTAAATGTACGACCACTAAGAAAGGAATCCTTTGTATGTGTGCGATCATTTCTGAAACTGATCCTATCCTCCCTACCCGAAAAATGATTTCGAATAAGATGAATTCCAGTTGACAGTAAACGTCCACTCTTACCTTCACTTGCTCAGACATGTGACATAAACTCTTAAGGCCTGCTTCCAACTGAGTCACTTCAGTTTGAAAGGGGGATACACGGATGGCAGATGAAGTGGATCCGACTTGTTCTTTAACCGCGGCTTGTAATTCCAGCACTGTAGTCGCAATTTGTTCCGCACTGCCCGCCGATATTCCTGTGGCTGTCTGGAACCAATCCGGTAAACTTTGATCACCACGCTCGTCAGCAGAGTACTCCGCTTGACAGGCCTTTGCCAGTAAGGATAGTTTGGGTAATGTCTGAAAACGGAAATTCTGAAGCTGATCTGTCAACTCTTTGTGTACTCGGCCGAGTTGGAAGACACCTAAAGGACCATCTGGGTCTGTCGCATGGATTGCCAATAGTTTGAGAGAAGTGGAAAATATCCAATTCTCCGCCTCGTTCAGTTGAGTTGAAAACTCGGAGAACCTTTGCCACGTTGTTTCAGCTTTTTTTAGTCGGATCTGGGATAAAAGAAGAAGAGTCGATTTCGAAAAATACACTGACTTGCAAATCAATTTGGTTTTCATGAGAGACTCAACTGAATTTCTCGTTTATGCTATTCTACGACTGAATGTGCTGCACATAGGCCGCCTCATGATTCAGTTGGCACGATATTCGAGATATCGCAGTATATTTTCATAAAGGAACCTACTCATAGGGTTTTTGAAAACTCTTTGCCTGGCCAATTTGGGTTCAAGTAGAACATAAGGTTGACGGAAACTTGGGGACTGCCTAGCTGATGGGCCCCAAGAAGGGCGAAATCGGTCAAAGAATTTTCAGCAATCTGGTGAGTAGTTTCCCTTATGAAAACAGTCGATTTCGTTTATAGTTGTCAAGGTGAAAAGACGTTCCGACCAAGAATTTAGAAGGAATAGTCAGTATCAACATTACTAGCCTAGCCCCAACAAATAAGTACGGTAAACCCCGGTACAATGTGCCTTCCACAGTGATCACTTCCCATGTAGTGACCGCTTCTGAGTAATCCCATCTAATTCTCCGGAACAGGCATTGGATGAATTCTCGTGGTTCTGGTGCCAACCTACCATAAGGATGAACGCTACTGTCGAATTTGAACATCACAGGTTCTCGATTACAACATACTTTAGAGCGTCCAACTCACTGGAGCGACCGATTGCGACAGCGTTTACTGCGGATAGGTCAGTTTAGCTTTCACATGTTTGACTTTGTGGGCCATGAATTCTTTCTTCGATATAATCTAATGCCCCACAGAAACTCCGAAATTCTCTTCACCTTCTAACCGAAATCTCAAACACTACAGATGTTCCGAATTCCGCTTTTCATCTATTACCTACAAAACACCATTAGATGAACAACTCCATCTTGGTAAAACTAATAATACTCTGCAAAATATAGTAATTTCATGCTATACTAGTCACCATCCGACTATCATGTAAGCGTTCAGTACATTTATAACTCACTAACAATCGGCTGGTGTCAACAGAAGATCTGGAAAGGCTTGTTTATGAGTTTTTTCTAATCAAATGGGCATCACAAAGATTGCATACGGGTTCAGTCGAGCCGCGATAGTGAAACCTTTTGTCCTATAGGCAGTGTGAGACTGCAAAAATTCAGAAGCGATTCCGCCTTGCTTAGGGCTCGCCAGATAGCCGCAATTTCTAAACTTTTAAACGATTCTCCAACTTGATACGCTGTATTAATACCTCGTCCACACATGTTGATCGATTCATTCGGAGTTCGCTCAAATCACCAACTGAGTACACAAGTGATCCATAAATCTGTAGAAACTGGTATTCAAGTGATTAATTAAAATCTGTGAACTACATTCACCCGCTTGGCTCCCAAGAAGAGAGAAACCGGTAGACGAAAGTCGACTCAAAAGAATTAACTGTTTTATCCATATTTATTTTCCCTCACTGACCGCTCATAACTGACATCTTGACATTATTCATGTTGACAAAATCGCTTAGATCGTGGACAATACAGCGAGTAAACCGTTGGGCCGAGCACATACAACTTACATTCGTTATCGATCCTAAATTTTTTAAAAAAAACAGGAAATGTTTGCATTGACGATTTCCAATCATGTCGCGGTCCATGAAAACTATGAGGAAAAGTAGTATAATCAGTTCTAATTCTCCGGAACAGGCATTGGATGAATTCTCGTGGTTCTGGTGCCAACCTACCATAAGGATGAACGCTACTGTCGAATTTGAACATCACAGGTTCTCGATTACAACATACTTTAGAGCGTCCAACTCACTGGAGCGACCGATTGCGACAGCGTTTACTGCGGATAGGTCAGTTTAGCTTTCACATGTTTGACTTTGTGGGCCATGAATTCTTTCTTCGATATAATCTAATGCCCCACAGAAACTCCGAAATTCTCTTCACCTTCTAACCGAAATCTCAAACACTACAGATGTTCCGAATTCCGCTTTTCATCTATTACCTACAAAACACCATTAGATGAACAACTCCATCTTGGTAAAACTAATAATACTCTGCAAAATATAGTAATTTCATGCTATACTAGTCACCATCCGACTATCATGTAAGCGTTCAGTACATTTATAACTCACTAACAATCGGCTGGTGTCAACAGAAGATCTGGAAAGGCTTGTTTATGAGTTTTTTCTAATCAAATGGGCATCACAAAGATTGCATACGGGTTCAGTCGAGCCGCGATAGTGAAACCTTTTGTCCTATAGGCAGTGTGAGACTGCAAAAATTCAGAAGCGATTCCGCCTTGCTTAGGGCTCGCCAGATAGCCGCAATTTCTAAACTTTTAAACGATTCTCCAACTTGATACGCTGTATTAATACCTCGTCCACACATGTTGATCGATTCATTCGGAGTTCGCTCAAATCACCAACTGAGTACACAAGTGATCCATAAATCTGTAGAAACTGGTATTCAAGTGATTAATTAAAATCTGTGAACTACATTCACCCGCTTGGCTCCCAAGAAGAGAGAAACCGGTAGACGAAAGTCGACTCAAAAGAATTAACTGTTTTATCCATATTTATTTTCCCTCACTGACCGCTCATAACTGACATCTTGACATTATTCATGTTGACAAAATCGCTTAGATCGTGGACAATACAGCGAGTAAACCGTTGGGCCGAGCACATACAACTTACATTCGTTATCGATCCTAAATTTTTTAAAAAAAACAGGAAATGTTTGCATTGACGATTTCCAATCATGTCGCGGTCCATGAAAACTATGAGGAAAAGTAGTATAATCAGTATATCTGGCTTTCGGAGAGAGATGGCTTCCTCATTTTAGTAACAACTGAACAACGTAGCCCACTGGATGCACTAGGAGTAGGAACACAGTAGTACAGTCTATCGCGAAACAAAGAAGGTCAAACACACAGAGGAACATTCAAAACAAAAAAACTTCAAGGAATCATCAAAGTTAGACATCCAAGGCACTGGACCTCCGGACTCGTTTAGGAAAACCGACGAAATGGTAACATTTCCTTTACTCCTATCAACACACAAACATTATATATAAAGTTCGAGTACTGATATGACAAAAACGCGTGCATTAGTAGTGCAAAATGTTACCGGACATACTTCGACTTCCTGCTGCATTCGATTGAAACGCTCTTCGGCGAGTTCTGTTTGTCTGCTGACCTCGGCCTTTGGTGCATCGTCCGTGCTCAAATTGTTTGCCACACGGTGAAGGTTTTCGATTTTGGAGCGACTGTCTTCAAATTCCTGCCTGATGCGCTGAAATTTTAGAGAGCACAGGAGGATCCGAGCAGTGAATGTCCTTGTGATTTGATAGAATATTTGTAGATCAGCATAACCAGCTAGCCCTTGTTTTCTTAGCCGAGCCTGATAATTAGGTTTCAAACGTTTCATCCAGCCAATGGAGTGGGAGCATTTCTGCGAAGCTGTGAAATGTATCAGTGGTGGGGCACTAAGCAGTTATGTGCGTATGCTTATATAATCATATGAGCGGAAGTCAGTCCCGACTAGCAGTACGTACATAAACACATGCACGTAAATATTTGTTGTAATTCCACCGAGGCGTCGTACCAATCCACTTGGTGATGAAACATCTTCAACTCAGTTGTACAGCTCACCCCCTAGAGAACATTCGTGAATTAGAATTCGGTGGGAACTCAAGAACACCTGAAACCACTAGGAAAAGAACGATATCTTTCAGGCAACTTCTAAGACGTTTCATCTATTGTTCCACTCCAAAGTGATCAGTAACTGAAGTTAGTCCACCTAGGAACCCTGCCTGTGTGCGAGGTGATCTCCAGTGACGTCCTGGATATCGAGATGTCGCATGACACTGGTACAATCTGACCAAAGTTGATTCAGAATCCACTATCCCTTCACTCAATGCAGTATTTTCACTCCCCCCCCCCTTTAAACGCTTTTCTGCGACTTAACATAAACGCTATTTTCGAAGCGTGATTTCTCAGATATTTAGGATTAGACCGATCAGTATTGTTTGAATGATAAAAGGCGATCGGCGTCGGAAGTATGGCCTAAGGTTTGTAGTGCAGTAATGAATACCTGATACAACACCACACTTATAAGCGCACGGCTACCCGGACAGAAACGACGAAACCGCGATCACAGAACTTTGTCAGAATAATATGACCTGGTGCTTTGATGGGAAAACAAAGTAATTATTATTAACGTTGGACCACTTGGATGTGCGAGCAGAAAAGGTGGTGACCAACCGTAGAGCATATAAGGGCTCTTGATTTACTCAAGATTGAATGTGGTAGGCGGTGGACTTTTGTATAAATCTCAAAAGCCTAGCCATGTTATTTTGGTGCTTTGACCAGTATCCACTGTGAATGGTCGCCGTTTGATGAAGCTCCAATTCGCTGCACACGCGCCTCATAGAAACTCAATCGAATGGCTTCAACGAAGGTTCACATATGAGGATGTTCCGTGATAGCTACTGCATCTCCAATCTCTCACTCAGTGAAAGGAAGAGTGCTCACGGATGCGGAGTTGTTCATTGACCAACAAGAACAAAGCGCTTATAAGCGAAAGTAAAAAACCCACTTTCACAGTCTTTAAAAAGCGTCCTCTTGAACGTTCCTGGAAGTTCTTTGAATATTAAACGGTGATGTGCTTCCATAATTTCCGTACCAACCTTCCATCAGATGTGGTGACGACGCTTTGACATTTAGCTGGATACTGCTCACATGTTTCATCAGTAGTATACACCATGAGATTAGTATGTTGTCTTATGCCCTTGTGCTACTGAAGGCTTGTCCTCTCTGTAATGATTCCTTCGTATGCTTAAATAAAGCACCTCACACTAGGCAGCATTCCCATCGGCGACACTATTCCTATATGACGTTTGTGAAAACATTGTTAATATTTCTAACATCGTGGAGTTGTTCGTACGGTTGATCTCTGAATTCGGAGTCTGCAGACAGTGTTGAAGTGCGGACAGAAATTGTGATCAAGTCTGGTGGATATTCTCCCGCCATTCTGGATGATACGGTATCCATGAACAAAAGCTTGAGTTGGTCACTGGGTCAAGACAACAGCGTGGACGTCTCTTTTGTGATTTCGTCCACTGTGGTAAAGTCAGTATTCCTACTTTCAATGTCCATGAGGTGAGTACGTTCTAACGAAGGAGGCAAATTTGTTTCTGTTTTTTACTCAGGAGCGTCCCGCCCCAAGTTCGGTATTGTAAAGTCTTAATAACTGGTAGCATATCATTTCCTAGGGAAGTCGTAGTATTTGGAGTATTGTAAGTATTGTGTAGGTTTTGGTTTTCCTCGGTCGGAAATTTACCTGGACAGATAGCACATGTTAACCTCGTGGGAAGGGGAAACGACTTGTACATCCTGAATCATTTCACTGGATCTCTCACTGTTCCCACCCAACGATCAACTAAGACTTAAGAAACCTAGCACTTCAGGGGATTGGGGGACAGGTTTCATAACTTACCTTCAACTGATCCACGTAGGTTTGTTTCATACTGACCATGCGCTTCGAAGTGACAACAAACCTTTTACCCTCTTGATCCCGTTTTCTCGTCTCCGTGACCAACCCAACCAACTGACTGGCAAGTCCATCCAAAAACTGGGTCGTCTCAGACTGTGTCTCGGTCCATTGCACCCAGCGTTCAAGTTGCTCTTGCAGATGGCGTTGAGATTGTCCAAGTTGATGTGCTAACTCCTGAGCAGTAGTACGAAATGAGTCCACTTGGGCATGTACGGTTGTACTCAACGTCGTGTCTGAACTCTGTAGCAGCTGTTCGACTAGGCGAGCGAGTGGATCCAAATGTTGACTAATTTCTCCCGACAACGTCTGACTGAGGATCTAGAAGGATGGAGGGAGATGAGGAAAAATTTTGCACGAATGAAAACCGAAGTACAGCATGGAAGAGTCCCACAGATTATTCGGAAATTAATGTGACGAATTTGTGTAAAACGATGTAAGTTATGCGGAATGACGCGAACATTTTTACGACTGCATGTATGGCTGTCATAAGATAACTGTGTTGGGGTTATCCTTTCAACAGTTGCAAACCGACCAATCCACCGTCAAAACCAACACGTTACTTATGACGGCGTCCAGTAGACGCAATCCAGCTACTGCAGCAGGCCTCATTAGCAGTAAAACGACTGTCAATATGCCAGTGTCCTTCGAACCAAATCCTGGCCTTTTGATAACTGCTGTCTGGGCTCCGGAAATCTTGTAGTGTCTCAGTCGTCGAGCTGCAGGGTGGCTAGGCACCGAAAGAATGTCACAGCTGAACGATTATCTTTGTTTCTATTGAACTAGGACAACAGTCTGGGAACATGTTAGAGGAAGACCACAGCAATAAGAACCTACAGTCCCCAACAGGGTCGAGAAAATTTCCACGAGAGTGACTGAAGTGCTTGTTGGTGGAAGATGTCAATCCATTCAAGGCCAAACCTGTTTTACTTGAAGCCAAGTGATCTTAACGCCAAACTCAATGTAGACTGAGTAAGACCTTTCACGGAACCTGAAAAATGATTGAGCTAGAACATAGTCAAGAAGAGCGTGCTCTGTCCCAAAACAAGCACAGACTGGAAACTTTCACAATGGATCAGGTCGTAAAAGAACCAAAAAGCAAAGGCAGTGATTCTGGAACTATCATCAACCTATGTGATTGGAATAGTAGGTAGGAGAATTTTTAGGTATTTTCCATCAGTCAGTATGAATAAAAACTTGAAATACAGTGAGTGATATTACAATACAGTGATCTTCCAGCAGAGTGGAGACCGTTTAGAGATCCTGGCTGACAGGAAAATGTATTATGGTCTCTACGCGGCAATGACCTCTTTTTTGAAAAGTCCTTTCTAACAGATCATTGTATTTCGTACGTGTAAGCCTAAAGCACTGCTGAGCTCGTAGAATAACTCGGTAGATGGTTTGCCACAAAAAGACTAACAGAAGAAACGAGTACCATGTATACGTTTAGCCTCGCCCACTAATTTACGCTACTCCGTGCTTACGGATTGGAGAACTTGATCAATCTATATGATGCTGAGGACATGAACCCGTTTTCGTTTCAGGATGAAGCTTAGCACAAGTAAGTGCGTCTCACGACGCAACAGGCTGAGTGTGGACGTGCAGAGGGACTTAGAGTGACGAGCAGCGCTGCTAGGAGCACTCCTGAGGCCATTCCACATTATGATGGTAGAGCAGTTAGCGTCTGTCGAACCCTATAGGTGATCACATGTCAATTCACCCAGGTTGATAACTACGCACGAGGCGTAAGTGTAGGGAGAGTCTGTATCTATCTTTCATGATACAGTACGACCACCCCTGGTTAACAGTGAAATCAATCACTTAAGAGGAGGTTATTCTCCGTAAATTGCAAGTGGCCTAGAGGCCAATTGCGTCCTGAGTACCATTTCACTGCAGAACTGTTTTCATCACCCATTAAAAGAAGCGTTCACCCTGAGAATGCTACCAGATCCTACTAAATCTCAGCCACCTTTCACGTAATTACTAATCGACTTTGCACTCCTTCACTTTGCTTTCAACCACCCTGTACATGGGTTTTCGTGAAATTGATGCAAGAATCAATAAAATCTACCACCCACCAGCAAAACTTGACTTCTCCCCTCACCCATAATCACCAGTGAATTAACCTGACACCAAATGACAAGCAAACCAGAACTGTCATGGAATGAATGATCTCCAAATTTAGTGATAGTCATGTGGCCTAAACGAAGGAGTAGCAAAGGGCAGATAATCAAAAACCAAAGTCCCATCAGTGCTTTGTTGACTAGATGAGTAAACTATTAGCAATTGCCACATTGAGACCTGTGGTGAGCCTAATATTTTTCGGAGCTAAGCAGACGGCGAACGGAGTCTAATGGGAGTCTTTATAGCCAAATGACGCCTTAAAACCGGTTGCCACGCAAACAGTATCCAGTTACACACGAGTGTCATCACAGTGACTGATATAGATACCAAACACAGAAATTAGCTGTGGAATTAAGGAAATAAATAATGGATTTCGTAAGTGAGGAAGCAGTAGGTCACATCAACACCTTAAACAACACCCTCAATACATTCTTCATAATTACGTGAAAGCCGCCCTAAATGACAGTATAACATGTTTTACATGCACCGGGTGGTTTTTGCTAATTCGAGACTGAATGCATGCACGAACATCGAATCTGTTTACAGACATCCACAGTCGTAGGTCGTCTGCTTCGACATTTGGTAGGATCTACAGTTTGGATGAGTTGTGAGTATAAGTCACGGATTAGTGCTGGACAAGCGTCTTCAGAAGGGCCTCTCTTGAGGCAGTTCAGAGTCTTGCTGCTCTCAAAAGGTATCATTGCGCGCAAATGCAGTGAATGTGACAAACGGAGAATAAGCCAACGGACCCGGCAGATCATGCGGTACTGATGGTACCCGTACAAGTGAAAAAAATCGTCGCTGTGAGGAGCAGGGAAGTATTCATTCAATACCAAGTTTGAAATGAGTTGAAGTTAAAATATTCCGCACAAGGTTTCACAACAACTCACACGTCCATTGGCGAGCCGACGTTCTAATTCGGTCCTATCAGTCGTGTCGATTGGACAGCTGCATTGAGCAACTCGTTCGGACAAGGATGAAAGCCACTCCCCTGTTTCGGCCACGTGATGCTCATAGTCCGTGTGAATCTGAACGGCTTGTCGCAAATTGTGCAAGGTGTTCTATATGAATGGAACCAGAGTAAGCGGTCACAGAACAGAGCTTGATTTCAGCTTCTTGATCTCACCTAACGAAGTTAAAACGAGGGTAGCTCATCTCCAGCGGGAAGCAGCAGATCCAGAATTAATTCAGCAAACAGATATATGCGACGTGCATCGAATGGACTATAATCGCATCGATGGATGAGTTTCGACGTCGGAGCTAACGCCCTGATGCTCGATGAAAGTTTGCTAACTTCCTTCTTTCCGAGCTTTCATTTTATTTGTCGGATATCAAGCCGTGTGAACATGGCGTTTAGATGAATGAAAGCGCGTCAAACCGGCAAACCCTTGAGGGTATGAACTCGGTGCACCTTAAAAACCAGCTAATAATAATTTGGTCATTCTTAATTCAAAGAATACTCTGTCGGTTGAAAGGTTTGTTCTTTGGGGGTAGCCGGGAACAAGTCCTTCAAACATGATATTAGAAATCGACTCAGCTCTCGTAAGAAAATTCCTTGATCACCGGTTACTAGTAAGGTCAGGAAGGCTGAAAAGCATATGTTGCTGAAAAAATTTGTTTAAATTGCCAAAAAAAGTTACACAATTGCATCGGAATGCATTTCAGGTCTGGTTGTGACGGAACTGTACCAAACAGTTCCTCATCATGGTGACACAGACAATTATTACATGCCGAGAAAAGTTTGATATCGTCGAGTCCACACATCAGATTCATCAATTTAATCATCAGTAGTTCCCCTCATCGTCATCAACAGCATGACATCAGTGTTCAACGCCGATGCTTCACTGCCGTACAACCATGATTTTGTAATGTGAAATCAAGAAAGCATGGGTGGTCACAGTACTGAGACCCCTTGGAGTTACGTGATTGAAAGAGGGTTAATCTGGGTTAAAAGCATCATTTAGTCTATTCGAATAATGACAAAGACGTAGCTGGGTGCATGTGAGGTGACTGCAACCTTAAGAGTAGGCAGGCTCCGCACCCCCATAAGCTCAGGTTGGACTACTCTACCACACAGTTAAAGCCTAAAAAGAGGCGACCTTTGGAGAACTGTAGTGTGGCTTACTCGGTTCAAGCAGTAGACCGTTGCAAACCCTTTGGGGGCGAATAGCCACTTCTGTTTTGAGTTGTACTAATGCGTACAAGTGATCGGGACATCAACAGCATCTAGTCCTCCGAGCAACATCTAACCAGATTGCTCAAATGTAGAGTCACTTCTGCGCAAGACGGTCATTCAAAGTTGCCTAGGGCTAGGTAGGAATTCGAACACTGAAATGACCGGTCAGATACCAGCAAATCAACCAATGAGCTACTTCATGCTTGGTCGTTCACAAATAACGGACGTACATATCGATTGAGTATGTGGAGGATGAACGTGGTCATCACCGAAAGGCACAAAGGCACACAAACACAACTCTGGATATGAAAACCTACTCACTGAAAAGTATTCACCTACCTGAACAAGCTGAACGACTCCCTCGTATCGGTCGGTGAGTTGCTTCACCTGCTCCGTCAGTTGACAGCCAGGTTCCATCGACTTGACTCCAACTGCTTTTTTCATGCATAACTCGAAATCAGTGTGTTTGTCCATGCAGATACGATAGGTTTCCTGACGGGATGAAACATATGTTCAACACCAGAGATAGATCGGGTGCAACTTACGGGTCAAGGCCCTCCGAAAGAAAGGCGGTTGTTTTACCCATTTGGGCAACATGAGTGACTAGGGGTTTGCTTAATTCTATCGGATATATTGTTTCAGTGGCACTACCAAATTCGACTTGAGTGGAAGCTTTACAGGTTTACTTTCCTCTGTAGGCTTTGCAAAATAGTTTGATACTGGCCTTTCGAACTTGTGAAAGTGCTAATCGATCCATGTTTTCGCACAATGGCTCACGAATACAGAGAAGAGAAATTTGGATGGAATGACGTCCTGTCTTCCTCCCTATCATCACCAGTGACAGTGGTACCAGAGGAAAACACTGCTGTTTCACTGTCATATTCCAGACGAAAACGTCCCCACAAGTTTGCCACCTCATGGTGGAAAAAAACTTTGCTTATTCTCCACACAGGGCCTTCACCAACTAGATATTTTGAGTTGTGTTCTATAGACGAAGATGGTCCTCGGACTGAGCTTCTGTCATTCTATACTCACACACATCAGCCATCGCCTATTTCACACTTAAACAATCAAGCAACACTCGTTACTATTACTGCCAAGCTAAGTCCAAGCAATGACGAGCTCAGAAGAATATCTGTAAGAACACTGGTGTTGGTGATTCGCGTAAGTGTTCCTGAATTCTCAACGAAAACTGAATAGTTTCCACATCAATTGAGAAAAATGGAGATGAAGCGATCAAGCCCTGGTTTGAACAGCACGCTATGTTAATATACTTGACAGGATCACAAGGATGAACATGAAAACTACGCAAGAGGGAATACTGCTCAAGTCGATGTGGATAAATATCGTACCAGGATGCACACTTCTTTATTTGTGATTTCATCCATTGAATGAGGTCGATCTGTGCTGAAAAGCCGAGAAGCGCTGCACGGCTGTTTCATCCTCGTTTAGAATCATCAACGTGATGCATCGCACATGGCCTTTCGGCCAGGAGCAGTCGGTTCGCAGCATGATTAACTCGCATTTAGATAGGATACAGCGGGGAAACCAAGTGATCAAAACATAAGCCCAACTACGGTCTAATATGAACGCCACATGGGTTCGACTCCAACATCGGTGACAGCTGGTATCGTTTTGAGATAGCCAATGAAACAGGATAAGCATGAGCCTACAGCCAGAGAGCGGGAGTGTCAGGTCATTGGATCGCAACTGCCTTAGCTGTTCCTACAAACTCCGTTTTGGCAAACCCAGTACCCCTACCATTTGCTTTCACCTACGCCCCGCCACATCACCTCCTATCGTACACGAGAAATCCCCGTTTCTCCGACCCTGTTCAACCGAATTCGGTGCGTAGTCAGAGGTTGCAGTGAAAATCGTAAAGACAATAATTAGGGGAACGTGTTTGAGGGTGTTTTTATCCTAGGAGGCAAATATGAACTGCCTCATTGCAAGGACTGGTGTCAGAAAAGCCGACACAAGCAATCTCCTGATAATGATTAACAGCAAAAACGATAGTGGTAAACTTATGGCTCACAACCGCATTCAAACGGACGGATATACAGTTGATGGACATTGGATACAAACAACACGATGATACTGCCCGCCCCTTAAAAGCGCAGCCCCAGTGGATAAACAAAGTATCGGTGTCCTGGGGCGGGAAGATGTTTGAGCCCATACAGTAAATCGGGACTGCTGAACTATGTTAGCTCTAAATTGTACGGTTGGTTTCGCTACTTTACTACTGATTCCTGTATATTTGGAGGTTGTTTTCTTCTAGTTCCGTGAAAAAAACGTGGAGAATTGACAGCTGATCTTTCTGATGGGATGAACTTTTTGAAGGAGATGTTTGTGTGAAGGCCTTTCACAATGAGCATTTAGGAAACCGGACAGGCGTTAATCGTTTGGGCTGATTTTGCAACTACGGCGAAATTTATCAAGAGTACTTCGACTGAACACCGCTCCGCGATGACTAATTCGAAAGCATGTTCCTCTGGAGACAGAAATGAAGCTGTTGTGGTGTACTCAACGATCAAGCAATAACAAGACTGGCGGACGTCACTTGTTTCCATTCAGAACGGGACTAAAAGCAGTGTGGTACATGCGAGATAGTCAAACAGAAGACTTATATGTTCTTGAAGGCAGAAACCACAACGACGTCTCAATGCAGTCGTCGATGCAGCGGCGCTCACTACCAGATGAAGGGTAACCGATGAAGCCGATAGGGTACAATATTATTTCGTTTGACTTTGGTGTTATGCCAGTGCATCTGATTAGTCCTCCTGTCCTCCTGCTCTCAACAACGCGTACTTCCCCACTCTCAGTCCGAGTTATTGTTCTGTTTGTTCTGGATTAGGTGGATGTGAATCCATGAATCGGTAGATGATGTTGGATTTGGAAGATGGTGGTACTTCAAAAGGACCTATCGCCTATACAAAAAGTAGCCTGGTCGAGCAGTACGTCCTCCGTATGGGCCTCATCAGTTGCGCGTCACCCGATTGAGAGCAGGCATCTTTTAGGTACAACGACGACTGCAGTGAATGTCGTGTTCAGAAGGGCAAACGACATAATTCTGAAATTTTCTGGAACCATTGCTATTGATGGATGGATCCGCGTAAGCAGACAGGGCTTTTCGTTTCATTGGCGCTATCATCATAAGCTGCAGAGAGTCTTTGATATAATGATTTTTATTCCTTCGAATGTATTCATTATCGTAATCTGTGGTACGCGCCTAACGAAACGCGGGAAAATAAATCCGGACCTTCGTGCAAAACTACGTTGTTATGCCCCCTCTTCATGTTTGTTGTGGGAAAAGGCTGTTTTGCACTTTCCAAAAATGTCATCCTAATGAGTTCTTCAGTCAGTTGAAAAACGCTTGTAACCGATTGAGGAGTCATCGCTTTTGGGAAAATTTGGAAAGAACTACCAATCGGTTAAGTTAGGCTAAATCCTGTTAGGTATCGACCGAGGGATTTTGTGTGTTAGGGTGGGTGACCAGGTGTTAGGAGGATGGAGCAACCTACATTGATTTGGGTCCAGCCTGAGTCTAGTCCTTCACCGAGGGATGTGTTAGGGTGGGTGACCAGGTGTTAGGAGGATGGAGCAACCTACATTGATTTGGGTCCAGCCTGAGTCTAGTCCTTCAGTTCAGTTCACGTGATGACCCTGTCCGTTTGTGCGGATGAGCTAGCGCTACGATAGTCGTGTAAGAAAGAAGGACTCTGTGACCTTTGGTCGGGTTGGGATTTCCCCCCCCCCCCTTGGTTTAGTTGGTGATTCCACGTGCATTGACGGCCACACGCAGTCACTTGTCAACTCGGCCTGTCTAAGACCGTTTTCCATACGCTCACCAGCTTCACACCCTCGATTCCGTTCACGCTGTGATGCCCGGTAATTTTCACTGCCCCGATCATGCCTACTGGACGGTACATCGCATGATCAGTGCTGGTTTTCGAGGACACCGTGAATTTGTACATGGTTTCTGCGAGTGGTTAGCAAATCTTTTCAGCTCAATCCTGAACACCACACAATGCAGTCGCCATCTGAGATCAAGCGCGCTGCACGAACAGTAAAGACTGCACTCCTCAACAAAGATCCATCTGAACAGAGGCCATCCTCCAAAAAACGATCCAGCAACATTCGCTGTAATACACAATTTAGTGTGCGACCCCTTCGGGAAAACAAATATTGACTACATTTAAAACTTTCCTGAGTACGTCTAATTGAAGGTGGGTCTTGACTCATTCATTTGTCATGATAACCTGTTATTGACTAGTTTCCGCTCATCATCATTGTCAGCCGTAGTAACCGCGTACTTGTTGTACAGTGGTTGTAGCTGCCACAGTTTCATTCACCGATGATTCGGGGAGGTGGGGTAGGTAGCTGCGCATTGGAGGCGGGAGATGATAAATTAGTGCCTAAATACAGCACTGTAGGTGGACTGTTAAATAAGGGGATAGGGAAGGGGCTATGCATTGAAGGTAATATCTTGGATGCATGTGCGCCATTGAGAGCCATGTCTGACAATGTCTCTAACCATTGATATGGCCCGTCTCGGGGTCCCCATCCAGGAAGACGGCAATGACCAGCGCAGCTGAGTTTTCTGGTAATGGCTTTTATAATTCGTTGCAAAGTCATTGTTTGACCGCCTCTGGCTCGCTTCCACCCTTCACGTGGTTCTGTAAAAAGAGCCCTTCGAGGAATTCCGTCGACTGACATACGTAGCACGTGGCCGAGCCAGCGCGACCGATACAGTGTGGTCAGTTCATCTATCGAGGGTGAGTTATTTTTCCTGAATACCATTCGACGAACTTCAGTATTGCTAATCCGGTGTTCCCACCAGATATGGGCAATGCTCCGAAGACATCGATGGTCAGACACGGAAAGTCTTTGACATCCTCGGTGCGCAGCGGCCAGGTTTCTGATCCGTATAGTAATATAGAGCGCACCGCAGCATTGTAAACTCGACCCTTGACAGAGAAGCTGATGTCACGCCTACGCCACAGGTGACGCAGGTTCAGAAAAGCTGTTCTGGCCTTCCCAATCCAGATGAAAATATCTTTTGCGAGACCACCGGGACTGATACAGCTGCCCAGGTAAACAAATTTGTCAACTACTTCAACCGGTTCATCCGCAAGCATGAGGCTAGGGTTCGAGCCCATCCAGTCTTGAAGTAGTACTTTACACCTTGCAGGAGTGAAGCGCATGCCAAACCATGAGGCAGAATGAGTTAGACTATTTAATGTTATTTGCATTGCCACGGGGTCAGATCCCAGAACATTAAAAATTGTCTGGATTACGCGGCATGAAAATGCGAACAAAATAAGCGAGACAGATAAGCGTAATAGCCAGAGTAACCGATCACTAGTAAACAATTCTGTTTGCTCTTCACTCTAACTTCGGTCCCCCTCCTCCATTCGCCCCTTGAAAAACGCTAGTTCATGCACAGGCACGATAATGAACAATGAAATGGCGTAGTAACATGTACCTGATGTCACTTTATCTAACTCACCTCTAATTTAGATGTCAGTTGCCACTTGTCATCGAATGACTTCAACCGTTGCTGCGCCGCTTCATGTGTCGTGACGGTGGTGCGACGGATCCAGTCTCCCAGCTGATCCATCAAACTGAAACAATCACTCCATGCGTAGATTAAATCTGTCAACCATGTGGTGGCATTTTGATGGACCTCCTCAATCCGCATCATGCGACATTGTAGCTCCTCGACATGATCTTGTATGAGAGTACTGACTTGATTACAGCAATCCGTGGTGGATACAGACTGGTCCAAATCTGTGGATTCTTCGGCAAGACGAAAGATAGCCGTAAGTTGCTGGCCAAGTTCCGCCGTCCTTTTAGATAACGGGTATCCACGTACTTGAACTGACAGTCCTAGTTGGTCCAGCAAGACAAGACGCTGTTCGGCATCTGCCAGGTTCAGTACATGTTCCGTAGAGCCATCAGGACGTCCTATTTTGCCATCAGCGCTCAACGGAATACCGTCTGCCCCGGTCAAACCGTCCAGTCGACCTTCCACCTCCACTAACCAAGTCGCGAACGCGTCAGCCGATTGCTGGAATTGTCTGATCATGTTCAGTCGGTTCGTAAGTTCTTCACGACAATCGTCTATTCCTGACCCGAGACGTGCATAACGCTCCTGAATAGAGAAACTGTCCGCGGTCTTTGAGGTCCTTTCGAAGGACTCGAGACGAATAAGTTTAGCTTCGTACTGAACCATATTTGTTCGTAGTTCACCCAGCTGTTCCAATGCTTCTGCCGTTCTCTGATCAATAAACTGTAGGGATTTGTCAAATTCACCAAAGACCTGTGTAAGTGATAAAGCAATAGTTGCGGGAGCTGCATATTGTATTACGGTCATTAACTGCTTTTCGGTACCCATGAGCCACGAAGAAATGTTTTGTTGAGCAGTGTTCTGGGTGGTGATATCAATAAGAACCTTATCTACTTGTTTTCGGACAGCCTCTACCTGCTCACACAGAGTGGCGTAACTATGAACTACATAGATAGACGACTCTTCAATCTTTTGGTTTAGGTCAGTAGTTTGTGCTTCCGCCTCGCGCTGTTCACTCTGGTCTGTGCTTGCCTCCAGTCCACTGATCCCAAATTCCGCCGACCTTGAGGTGCTTCTTAACAACTGGAACTCCACGTTCCTTTGTCTCCGCTGAAGCTGAAGCTCTGCAGAAACGCGGCTGGTCCAATCACACGCGCTTTGCACGAGATTCGAACCGGATTGAATTTTATTGGCTAGCGTCAGGGCACGCAATCGAAGGGGTTCGACCAGACGTGCTGCACTGGTCACTTGGCCCCCATCCAACTCCAGTGGCTCCGACAGTTGCTTGGTCACCAAAGCTAGCTGGCCTCTTAGTTCATTTGCCCACCGATCGTACACCTCACAGGCCGATAACAGATGTTCTGTAGTTCGAAAAGCGGTCTTACTGAGTTGAATTCTCCTGTCGCACAAACTGAACAATGTATGATAGCGTTGAGTAAGCCGAGTGGCGCGTACAACAGCAACCTCACCAGACACAGAAGATGGTACGGTCGGAGAACTGAGTACAATCATGTCATCCTTTGTCAATCCTGGTGCTCGCTGATCACAACAATTTACTCGGCTGTTCACCAACGTGCGAGCTAGAGAGACCAGATTCTCCACAACAAGCTGCTTCTCAATAAGCTTTTCATGAAACTGCTCTCCAAGTTCCATATGACTTTTCGATTGGTTCAACAACTGATGAATGCTACCCACTCCTTCAAGTCGAAGTTTAGTAGTTTTTGCCTCATCCATTTCGGACTGGATCGCCATGGAGATTGCCGCCTCAGTGTCAGCTAGCCAATTAGCTAAATGATCGAAGCCTTTGGCGAATTCAGACCACTGACAAATCCACCTTCCCAGTTGAACCATAAGGTCAGTCAAATAGGTTTCAAGAGTTTTCACATCTTGAGCGGCAGTGGTAACGAGTAGGGTACCAGATGGGATTCCCATTTTTTCTAGCTGTTTATTGATATCAATATTTGCCGAGTGTAAAAGTTTCAGCTTGCTTTCCTGTTCCTTCAAGGTAGCGGCCTTTAGTCCGGAGATTTCAGTGGCTTTTTTATTTAGCTTTTCTGTTATTGACTGCAGACTTGGGGATGGTTGATCTTCCGAAGTTGATGGTTGCGTCAACCTTTCCATTTCAGCAACGCACTTGTGTACATTTTGGCGGCAATCGACGATCGACAGCTGGACATCGTGTAGATATTCCGCAAAATTTGTGCACAGATTACACAGGCTATCCGTTTCGGAAACCATCGTCCCGAGTCGTGTTTCTACTGCACGAACATCTCTCCACAGCTTGTTGGCCCGCTCACTACTGGACTGCGAAAAGTTCAGTGCATCCAGTTGTGGAGTTCTTGTTGATATTTGATTCAACCTATCCCGCGCCAGTTGCTCTGTGGCTGCGGTTGTCAACACAAGGCTATCCAGCTGCTTCATGTCACTTTCTGCATATTGCTTGACTTCAGCCAACAGCAGCTCCATAGTTTGAACCTTGGGTCGGAACCAGGTCTCCAAGTCAGTAACCAACTGTTCCCTGTTCAAAGCCATACCGGGCATCTTCAAACGAACAAACATTTCTGGAAGATGGGAGGTCATATCACGATCAATAAGATCCAGGTGCACCTCCATCGAACGAATCCAACGATCGACACGCTCCAAAGCACTGACAAGTTCTGTTTGAACAAGTAACTGGTCACAAAGTTCGGAACGTAATGCTTGCAATCGGTTCCGATAGTCGTCCCAACGTTGATAAAATCTATCCACAGTCAGACTGAGTGAATTCGCAAAATATGAATCTGTCCATGCACGCTTCTGCTTTGTGCTTGAGCTGGACACAGGTACAATACTCAAAATCAAGTTGTGTACAGCTTGTTCAACCTGATCACGAACATCCTTTCCATGTTCCGTTAAACCGGACTCCAATTTTTCCAATTCATCCAAAAGCTGCGCGAGTTTCTCGGCTCGATTTGGCAAACCATCGTCATCCAAACTCGATGACTCCTCATTTCTATTGGAAAGTAGATCACCGGCACACTTCTCGCCCTCAGACAACCAGGCATCGGCCTGACCAAAGCAACGATGAAACTCTTTCCAAGCTTGAATTTCTTTGCCCAGTTGGAGTTGAAAGCTTTTCGATCGAGCGCATAATTGCTCATGTTTCGTACTCAAGTTAGTCACACGTTGATTGACATGCAAGTACACTCGTCCTGTGCCCTTGACTAGTCTAGAGAGCAAAACTTGCAATCCATGTAACTTTTTATCTCGACGCTCTTCTGATTCCGGGAGCTGAGTGGAAAGCCTGTTCTCTCTCTCTACGCAGTTTTCAATGGCCGAATCAACCCACACCAAATTCGATACATCAGGTTCCAGCTCAGATTCCACCATGGATGACGAAAACAAAGCTTGGAGGGTTTGATCACATTCCAGCAAATCGACCTCAAGCGATTCACAAAGTTGTTCTATCTCTTCTAGTAATGTGTTTTCATCTGCTGACTGCTTGAGGCGCCTTTGGATTGAGCGCGCTAGCTGTAACGTATGACGCAGTAGAATCTCAACCGCTCGTTGAAACACTGTTGTTTGCAGATTTGGATCCTTTACGTCCGACTGGAAGTTATCGAGTGCTGTCGCGTGGACGGTGAGTTCAGCCAGATCAGCAGTCAATGTAGATTGACCTTCTGTGTCTGTTACGGATTCCCCATGTAGCAAAAGCTCCAGTAGATCCACTGGACCTAGCTGTTCACAAGCCATCTTCAAGAACTCCAGGTAATCATCGACTTCATCGGTATGTGAAACAACGGTGCCGTCCGAAGAATGATCATGAACCTGTAAACCACGTTCAAATTGGCTCTGAAACTGAAGAATCCGTTTCCAACAAATGCCGTATTCACTGGTAAAGATGTCCAAAGCACCACAGTATGCTTTAGCAGTCTCTGCAAGTGAGGATGCACGCGTACATATATGATCAAAGTGGACATTGACGTGTCCCATAGTTTCACAGACAACTTCGTCCAGACCTGAACCAAGGGCTGCGCCCTCTCTCCCTAAGTTGTGCACTATAGTAGATACCTGGTCAAGTTGTGGCTGTTGCGAGCCAAGTAATTCCACGAAGTGTCGAACTTTATCCCTGAAAGCAAACGCATCGGCTTTGTGTCCATTGAACATCAATACTAATGACATACCCTGTCGCTTGTCAGTACCGTAAGGCTCCTCCTCTAGCCTGGAATGTGTGTCACTTTTATCCAAATCTATACTCGGTTTCAACTCAGAGAGCCACGGGCGTTCTTGCATGAGTTTATCGAGTTCAGTTGCACTGGCTTTCAGCCACTCTTCAAAATCGTTCAAGTGATTGGCAACTTTTGTCCAAGCGTCACGCCGTCTTCTGAGCTCAACCCCACACTGCTCGATAAGCAAACCAAGGTTTTCCCAAGATTGTTGACAATCACTCAGCTTCGACTGAACGACCTTCCTGAAAGCGTTCCCAGTAAATTGAATCATAGTCTTTGCTCGTTCTCTCAAACCAGTTATTTTCACTGCCAATCTTGTACGATCATCTGATAACTGATCAAGACCAGCGACAGCCTCCTCTATAGTCTGGCTCGATTCACCAACCCCATCCTCGGCATTTGCGGAAGTCCGTAGTTGATTGACCTTCTGATACAACATGTTCAGGGACTGCTCAATCTTTGCCACTGACTCATTCCAAACGGTGAAGTCATCCAGGCGATTGCGCCACATGTTCAAAAGTTCTTTTGTCAGTTTAACAAGATGTTGAACACGGGACAGTAATTCATGCACTTTGGCCCCAGTAAGCTGACTAACAACTTGATTATGGCTGTCGTCTCCGGTGTCCTCTACGTATGAATCTTCGGCAACTGACTCCTCCAGGTTCGGTAGACAGGCGTAAGATGACCGAAGCTTACCGAGATACTCATGAACGTCAGAGGCTAACTGGACAATAGGATCGGTAGTTTGAACTTGAATATTGCTGGGTGATTGGGTAAGATGTGATGATTCCAGACAATCTGCGATCGCCTGTATCATTTGGATTTTCTCCAACAACTCCTCTTTACTCTCCACTAATACAGTTGTTTGTCCCCGCAACCAGAGTTCCAACTGGATAATGGCCGATTCAGACGTTTCACGTGCTTTCTCAAATCTCTGCCATGCTTCAATTGCATTGGTCAGCCGATTGACCGTTTGAACAATACTTGCATGCACTTTGTGCCAACGCAACTGGAGCTCTTTGGTCTGGAGTAGGATAGCAGTGCGTAATTGTGATCCTGATGTGGTGGTTTCTGTCGCATCGAGAGGATTCATATGCTTGAGGAGGAACAGATTCGCAGCAGCTCGCATATCCTCAAGGCGCTTAGTACCGTCCGGTACTAGGATGTCGAGATCCTGAAAAAAAAGACAGAGTTCGTATGAAATGAATGGGGACGCGGGCGAAGAATATGTCTGGGGATGAAAAGGCTAGATAGAGTGGGATTTACAATCCTGACAACATCGAGTTACGGTGAAGACGGTGCAATGACGAACTCAGAGTAGTGCCGCCATAAAAGATACCACACAAAAAGGTATCACTTACCAACCGCCGCTGATTGGAAACACGTAATATATAAGTGAAGAATCGGAACGACAAAATAGGATGGTCATGAATGGTTTTGTTTTTCAACATATAAGTGAAACATCTGTCCTTTTTAAAGGAATATATGTGAAAGGTATTGTGATGAACATGACTGATGCTCTAGGAACGACAAAATGGTCATGAATGGTTTTGTTTTTCAACATATAAGTGAAACATCTGTCCTTTTTAAAGGAATATATGTGAAAGGTATTGTGTTGTGCATGACTGATGCTCTATTCATTGCTCTATTCATTATTCTCTTGTTTTAATATTCCATATGCTGTACATATTCGCCAATTCGAATATATACGTGCTGGTTGCCACTCTTCGCTGAATTCTGGATTTCTAGTTCGTCGGGTTGTACCGATATATGTACGAAACTTAATTACCACATTTTGGCGTCGCGATTGGAACAATTCATCATGCCTGCCGAAATGGAACCATTAGATGTTAATTCAACTGCGCGTGACGTAGAGGATTATTTGGAACGATTCGACATATGGTGCCTCACAAAATCCGATATGGATGATAAGAAACTCACTGCATATTTCCTGCATTTCGTTGGCAAGGAGGCGTATACTTTGATCAAGAATTTAGTATATCCTGAATCTCCAATTGATATTTCTT